CAGGGTGTCGTACAGCTCAGTCAGCTGCCGATTCAAGCTCAGGTCACTCTGGCAAAGCTCCTGCCACACAGCCACCAGCTGCACCTGCCAGGGAACAAGAACCATCTGAGAGGAGAATGGACAGGCCACAGGTCTTGCTTTTGTTATTCCAAATCCAGCACCCCCCACGCACAGCACTTCTGCCAAAACACGAGGCCCACCCTTGCTCCTCTCTCCAGATTTCAGTGTAACGTATAATTCAGCACCACAGAAGGAAAAGACTTTCAGCATGAAGCTTGAGGCTTTTTAGTGATTCAAAGATTTAATTAACGTTGGTATTTTACTCATAAAATGAGATTGTAACTGATACCCCCACATAATAGTTGAAATACTTGGCAAGCCCCAGCCTTGAACTTAATCCTCAAAAGTCACAGTCATGTGAGAAATTTGAGGCTCATGTTATGGCTACAGAACTGTCTGGAATTCCAACTTTTAATCTCACCTGAAAAGAGTTTACAGAACTCAGCAGATGGCAAGTTGCAGTAATGAAGTTACTGCTGACATAGCCACATCCACAGAGAGCAAAGCAAAACCATGTGGCACAGAGAAATCAAGCAGAACACACATATCCCGTGTCTGCTGCAGAAAGAGACACAAGGACCTGAACAGAGAATTACTCCTGAAACACGGGGAGTAACTCAAGCTGTTCGGAGCCAGCAAGAGAAGGAAACACAAAAAGGAAGAGGTGCCACCTCCCTGCCACAGCCAAGGTGAGATCCGTGGGGCAGCAGCTCCCTCTGCAGTCAAAGCCCAGCAAGCATTCCAATATTTATTCATAAAATGGTAAAACATTACCAAAACACTTACCTTGTGACATTTATAATAATAAGCAAGAAGCTGGGGCATCCGATCAACTTCAGTGAAAACTTTAACAAACGTTCTTGCCTGATCTACACAAAAGAAAACAAGAGGCAGTCAGGATCAGCCTCAAAGCTGATGGTGAGACATCAGTCTGAGCAAGAATTCCTCTAAGGGAGCATGCAAAAAGACCTACACAGAAAGCTACATTTCACCTCTTCTTTGCTTATCTCCTCAAACGGGAGAGAAACTGCCTAAAGCCCACCCTCAATCAAGAACAGGCAGCAGACAAGAGGAATGAATTTAACTTCTTAAAATTAACTTCTTAACCAGCACATGTACCTGATATTAAGTCAGACAAAGACAGAGCATTTTCTAGAAGGAAATCGTTGTTTTCCAGAAACAAGCCATTATTCACAAACCTGGAGCATTCCTGACAAAGGCCTCAGGTTTGCTTTCACCTGTCTTAAAACTGCCCCCTGTGCCTTACACTGAGCCATGGCACAGTGAGCTCCTGCACAGAGCTCGGAGACACACGTTCCTAAATAGCCTGGTTTGTACCCCACAGCCCCAGATCCCCCTGGGACCTTGAGGTGCACACAGCTGAGAGCCAACAACCAGAAAAAGGACTTTTCAGAAGTGCTGACAGGAGCAGAGGGAAGGAAGAGTATAAAGAACAGTCCAAAAAGACAAGTTTTCTAAGCAGAGTTTATAAAGCCACTTTTATAAGGCAGCAAGGAGTCAGAAGGTTTCCAAACAAATTTCCTTCCTGATGACACCACCCAGCTGTAACAGAAATGCCCAGCAGCACCATGGTAACACAAAAACAGGTTTTGAAGAGGGGGCCTTCTGCTTACCTGAGAAGCACTTCCCACCTGGAGAGCATCCCTGACAGAACTAAACTACAACAGCAGGGCAGCCCTGCCTCAGCACCTCCATCTCAGGCAGCTGCAGAGCACAAAACATTCCAGGGCATCTGCTCCACCAGGAAAGCCTGTGACCCAGCACCAGAAGCCTTCAGGACACCAACTCCCCACACAAACGCTGTTTTGAAGACAATATACTCTATGTTGATAGTAAATGACACCAAGCATTACTGACCTACAGACTGGGAGTTGAAAGCAGCAACAATCTGAGGGCTGGCCATGGCCTCCAGCCGGTTTTTCAGTGCCTCCAGGTGCACACACTTCTCGGAGTAATCCGGCGTGTCCACCAGCATGGCCAGGCTGCTCTGCATGCTCGTCAGCTTGGCTGAAATCAGGGACACATCCTGCCAGCAGCAAGGGCAGCCTGTTACCAAGGGTGACCTCAGAGCATCAGCACCAGTTTCATAATGATATTTCAAACAGCAACGTTTGAGAGTCACTTCAAAAGCCTACTTTTAAACGCAGTTCGCTGGAAGGCTGAAGGCACAAAGACCAAACAGAATAATTCAGTATTTACTTGTGTTTTAAGAGTCTCTTCAATGTCTGCACTTAACGTGCTCCATTTGTCTGCTTCCTGAAGTGACTCGGCAGCCAACTGCATCCTGGACTTCACTTGGTCAATCTCTACCAGGACCTGAAGAAAAAAACAACACAATGTTGCCCACTGAAAAAAAAAAAAAAGAGGTGACTGCCATGGATGCTTATTTCAGCAGAGTTATTTTTGTCTTGGACTTAAAAAACAAAATTTGATGAAAAGATTATGATACAAGGAGGAAGAAATGGGCAGAAAGAACTTGAGATGCAAGAGATGCAAAATGAACTTGCAAAGTCAAACAACAAAAGGTTAGTTTAGGTTAGTTTGAATTCTGCTCTTGTACTTTTAGTATCCACTTTGCCTGAAAATGCTCTGCACCCCAGGCAGAAAGCAGTGTCCCCAGCCAGGTACCAGTAGCTCTGAACTGACACTTGAGCAGCTGTTCCTCAGGACACGCAGATTGCATAGGTCTGGGTCACACCCACCTTTCCACAAATTTTAAATTTGACAAGCTGCAGATAAACACTATCACAGATTCACAGAATATGCCAAGTTGGAAGGGACCCACAACAACCATCGAGTCCAACCCTCAGCCCGCACATCCCCAAGAGTCACACCCTGTGCCTGAGAGAATCGTCCAAAGGTTTTTTGAACTCTGTCAGCCTTGGTGCTGTGACTGCCCTGGCTGGGCCTGTTCAGTGCCCAAACACCCCCCGGGGGAAGAACCTTTTTCTAATATCTAACCTATAAGAACTGACCTGCATCGACTGGGCTGTGTCTTCTTCAAACTTCTTTATATCTTCTTTAACAAGGATCATCTGCTCCTTCAGGAATGTTGCCTCCTGTTTCAAGACTTCCAGTTCCCGGAGGACTCTGGGCATGTTCTGGAGAGCCTGATGGCTTGTTTCTGCAGAAACACTGAGCAGTCAGTGAGGAGCGCTAAGAGCCCTTGCAGAAATGGGAAAGTCTTTCAATAATCTTATTTAATCTTCAGTACTTGAAAAAAACGACACAAGGCAACACAGCAAAACAGCAAGCAACAAAACTTCAGCTGTACCTTTAAAGTTTATATATTTAGTACTTTATAGTACTTTACCATGGAATCACAAAGCCCTCTGAGACCAGAGTCCAAGTGTCCCCAGCAGTTCAGTGCTGTTCCCTCAGCACTGCCAAGGCCACCACTAACCCACGTCTCCAGGTACCAATGTACAGGAGGCTTTTAAATCCCTCCAGGGATGGTGACTCCACAATTGCCCTTCCAGCCTGTGCCAGGGCTGGACAAACCTTACGGGGAAGAAGTTTTCCTTATTATCCCATCTAACGCAGCCCTGGCAGGGGCTGCTGTTTGTCAGCGCTTGGCACAGATGTGCTGGTGGATAATCACGGGCCCCGGATCGGTGTAAGGATCCCTCTGGCCTGACAAGGTAGGCCAGGCCTGGATCGCCAACACGCCCTCGGGTGGCCCGCACGGGTCTCGCTGTCATCACCCCTTGTGCATCCCAGGAGGACTCGGGTACCGGACACACAGCTCCCAGGAGGACTCGGGTACCGGACACACAGCTCCCAGGAGGACTCGGGTACCGGACACACAGCTCCCAGGAGGACTCGGGTACCGGACACACAGCTCCCAGGAGGACTCGGGTACCGGACACACAGCTCCCAGGAGCACACGAGCGGGGCTGAACGGGGCCGCAAAACCCGCACGGGACTCGGCCCGACACATCCCCACGCCAGCAAAGCCCCCCCGGCCCAGCCCCCGCACCTTCCACGGCGTTGTTGACCTCCTGGATGAAGAGCTGCAGCTTCATCACCAGGGTGGCGGCGTGGGCGTCCACCTTGCCCGGGGCCTCCTGCTGCACCGCGCGGAACGCCGCGTTCACCCAGCCCTTCACCTCGAACTCGTCCGACAGGAACCGCGAGAAATCCATCGCCACGGCCCGGGCCGCGGGGGAACCGCGGGGGAACCGCGGGGACAGCGGGGGGACAGCGTGGGCACAGCCGGACACGGCCCCGCCGCGCACCCGGAAGCGCTCGGAGGAGCCGGGGCGGTCTCGGGGCGGTCCCAGAGCAGTCCCGGGGCGGTCCTGGGGCGGTCCCGGAGCAGTCCCGGGGCGGTGTCGGGGCCGGCCCGCTGAGCAGACCCCCGGACCCCCTGGCACAGGGGGCGATCGGCCGAGGCTGCGGCGGGCAGGGGGCTGTACCCGCCCAGCCCGGTCCCCAGCACGGCACCGTCAGCTCTCATCGCTCCCGTCGGTGCCGTTCCCACCGCTCCTCCCGCTCCTGCCTTACCCCGCACACAGATCCCAGGAAAAACGGGGTCGGGGATGTCCCTGCCTCCCGGGAACAGCCCCTGCTCCAGGCACGCTGGCACGAGGGCTGAGTGGTGGTGTGGATTTACTTTTTTTTTTTAATTAAAAAAGTAGTGGGGAAGAGGGTAAATGGGCCCAGAAAGTGGCAGAAAAGGTGTGTATGACAGAAGCATCGAGGTGCCAGTGCCCTTCAGCAGGGTCCTGTAAATTGGGGTCAGCTACAGGGGAAAGCTGTGAGAAGTTCACACTCCTCCTGCCAGGCACAAAGAGGAAGAAGGAGATGGCAGATCCTGGGGAAAGGAGTCATTATGGAGTTCTGGCCATCGCTGCTGGCCCCCAGTCCTTCCACATCCATTGCTAAGGCAACATGGCAATGTTCAAGCCAGCTGGACTTCAACTCCTGCCCCAGAGCTCTGCTTCTGGAAAGCCAGTCAGCTCTCCCACCTCACTGAAGGGTTGCACACCCTGTGTGAACACCAGTTTGTACCTCAGTTGAATGGGATCCTGCAAGAGAAAGGAAAAGAGAGGGGCATATCATGATTACGGATTCCTGGGCCCCTGTCAGCCTCACCCCTTGTAACCTTACTGCGGGAGTCACCTCTGAAAGGGGAGAGTAACGCCAGCCATGTGCAAGCTCTGCTCACGGTAAGAAATGGATCTTCCTAAGACAGACAAGGAGCAACTGGGAGACCTGTGCAAGCCCCCAAAAGGCATGCTGGCAATCCAGGCCTGGCCAGCCTTTTCAGAAACAGAGGGTTCTTTACACCAATCTTAGGTCTCATCATTCTTCACCAATGCAAGAGATCTGCCACTCATCAAGTGTGCCTTGGGTGGCCTCGTGTTCCCTCAGCTGCCAACACCTGCACAGTGTGAGCCTGGAGCCATCTCTGCAGGCAGATGGGGCAGAGCTGTGCGGGCCCCTGCAGTGACTGCCCATCCAGTCCTTCAGATTATAGCTCTGGAAGCTGTTCCCAGCATAGTCTCCCCTGGGTCTTCTCATTATTAAGACTCTCCCCATCTTTCATGCAAACACCCCATCCACCTCAGTGACATTCCCAGTGCCCCACCTTGTGTGGGTTGGTGAGCAGCAGCACCTGAGACACCACCATGGGAGGAAGGAGGGGACTGAAGGCTGGCAGCTCAGAACCAGAGGCTGGCTGTAACTTTATTTTCATGGTCTGAAGGAGGAAACAAAAGGAACACTTTTTAGTCCACACTGGAAAAGATTACTGTGTGTTACTGAGCCGCAGAGCTGGTTAAAGATACGTCAGCCAGACTTTGTCACTCAGTGAAAAGCACAGCCTGCATCTAAAGGCAGATATTCCCAAACAGCCAATTCTCTGCTGCACATTCACAGGCAACACAGAGCCTTACCCAGAAAGCTGAAGCAGCAGGTCTGGAGCCCTGTCTGGCTGTAGCAAGGCCATGGATACACACTGTGAAACAGGCACCAGTACCACAGGTACCACCATACAAGAGGTTCTCCATGCAGAGAAAGGGAGCCACGCAATTTCCCGTGAGGAAGGCAAATACCAAGCAAGAAATGGTGAACCTTCTCCTCAGGACATTTCTGAACATCTCTGCTAGTTGTTACAGGCTTCTCACCTTTGGGACTGCAGCCTGGAATGCTATGTCCTTAATGGGGTGAGCCGAGGTGCTCAGCATGGACAGAACCATCACCAGCACATCCGGCCGGCCAGGAGCTGGATCTCTGGAAAAGTGGAGCATGGCCTTGAAACCATTCCTGTCATACACAGTGAGTGGAGAGAGACTGCCTGCCAGAGACAAAAGGAGAATCAGAATCAAAGCTGGCATTCCCCTCCCATTCAAGGGCGGAACAGGAAAGATGGGATATGGAACAGCAAAAAGAAATCACAGAAACAAACTTTTACTTCCTCCATCACACTCACAGACCAAGCAGCACACAGCACCTGCCCCTGATTTACTTCTGCCTCTAACACCAAGACAGGATCTGAATGTCTGCACTGGGGATTTAACAGCAGATTTCATCTATCAGTGAGAGATGTCAGGTGTAGATACAACAGAGATACGATGGGCAAAGCAAAATGCTTTTCTTTGGCACACACAAGACTTGTCCCCTTAGCACCCCTGCCTGGCAAATCCCCACCTGACTATCACCATCCAGCCCTTCCAAAATCTGCTCAACCTTTCACTTGAGACTGAAGGCAGAAGACAAGCAGGTCAGGATGTCTTTGCACCTGTCCTCTTGCAGCAGCAGCAGCAATGGCCAAGGCTCTGTGGTCCTGTTAGCAGGACATGCCCTGTGCTCAGACCCTGGGGTGACACTCCAGGAAGGGGCTGCAGGGCTGGGCCATACAGTGTGATGTTGAAGAGCAGAGGTGGAAGGAACGCCTCTGCTTTAGGAAGTGGGACAACTCCCACTGTCTTTAGGTCCTTGTAGAAGAACTGCTTGAAGCCTGAATGAAGGTGCAAAAGCCAGAGGGTTTAGAGGCACGTTGCAAAGATCAGCCAGGACAGGAAACTCCTGACTAATGAGTAGGGAGGACAAGGACATTTCCGTGTTAGGATCCCTAGCACCTGCTCAAATTCTGGGATACATTAAGCCCTTCATAGAACAGTCATTATTTGTCTCCAGCCGACCCACACAGCATGAAGGTATGTTCAGGGAGGGATGGCTGCTTCCCTGCAAAACCATGGAAGAGCTCTAGTAAGTCTCTAGTAAGCAGAGCTGGCACACAGAATGATTGCACTTACTCAGTGTAATTGAAATTAAAGGGACAAAAAGGTTTTCTAGAGAAGCATCATAGGGAGCTGGATGCAAAGAGGCAGCAGGCTTCAGCTCGTAGCCTGGACTGGGGAGTGGAGGATCTGCCACTGAGCTATTTGGGAGATCTGGAAAGGGCAATTTCATTGGTGATAAATCCCTGGAAAGAAAAGCATGTAGAAAACTTTTATTAACTGGGGACACTACATGAGATAGACCATTTTCTGCTGTATCTGTCTATATTCCCAATCCCTCATCCCCTTTAGGTATAAAGAAACTACAAGCTTACACTCTGAGTTCTTGAGAAATTCAGAAATTCTCTCTATTTAATATGGAAGATGTTGCTGTTTCAAAATTCATTAAGGCAGATTTTGGTTCTGTTACTATAGTGAAACTTAGTTTAGGGCTTTGTAAGTCTGCTCTCCCTGTACACAGCTTTCTGGAACCCTTATCAGGGAGATTAGGGTAAATTCCAGATCAAAGACACTGCAAGAAGCTGGGACTCTCCAGTAAAATTTCTTGTATTATGGCAGATTGGATAAGCATATCGTAACGTCCCCTGCTCTGATGATCTGTGGATGATTAATTTGGTTTGTGAACTGTTCCAAGCTTCCACTGAGTGCCTGGAAACGACTTTCTCGCAATCTGGAGAAAGCTGAGGAAAGTACTTTCTGAGTGACAGGTTATTATAATAAGACCTGACTGTTAGGTATTTGTTCCTTTAGCTCAACATCACCTCGTTCCCAGGCAGTGGGATTTGTCTCCCCGAATTTCTGACCCTTGGAAGGCCTTGGTATGCAATTACACAAAGTGCAACTAAAAGGTGCACAACTGCAGGAAAGAGCCAATGTGCAGATGGATCACTTGCCATCACTAACCAGGGATAGGTGACAGGTTTTCCTAGATCTCCCTGCTGTAAAACAGTATTCTTCCGCCCCAAAATCTGACTGTATTATGCAGAGTTTGCTTACAAAGAGAATGTTTTGGTCCTGGATGGTGGAGAGAGCTCTTCATTCAGGCCCTGGAATTCACTCTTCCCTGCACAGCTGTCTTCCCAGCTCTCCTGTGGTCCCAGGGTTTGAACAGCGCTTACAGCTTCACTATATTCATTGCATACAGTAGGCTAGAAAATAAGGCACTTCAGGTTCATGCTATAGAATATCAGCAAAAAAAAAAAAAAACCGTTCCACTGAAAAGAACCTTGTTTTTAATACCACTACTTAAATAGAAATAAATATGAGTCATATGGTTGCAAACTGCAGCTGCAAGATTCATTGAGAGCAGGAGGATTCCAGTTTCCTCTCATAATAAAGTAATGTAAAAAAGGCTGCCAGACAAAGCCAGACCAGGAATCACCTCTGATTTTTGTCCTTTATACCTTATGGACTGTTAAGTATCTGAGCATCACTCACCTCTACTAAGCCAAAACTGGATGGTGGTTTCTGTACAACAGGGGAATTGCTGAGACCTAAGAAAGATGCCAAAAAGCCACAGATAGTTTACAGAATACACAGGTTTTCCAGAGGTTCTTCCTTTGCTGCATAACAGTGGTTTGGCTACAGTCTAAGACCACTAAAGACACTGTATTCCTGAAAGCACAGGACTGAAAGGCTCTGCTTTCTCTTGGGACTTTTGACATTAAAGTCAAAGCTCTCCTCTCCTAACTAATCACCACAAACCCCAGTAACAAGGGTAGCACTGAACTGGGCTACAGACCTAAGGACTGGAACTCCTCCTCGAGCAGGCACAGGGAGGTTGTGCTGCCATGGCGGGAGGCCGAGGCTGTGTCTGCAGGGGGGTCTGTGGGAGTCTGGGCTGTGGCCTCCAGCTCAGAGAAGTCCATCAGGGTGTAGCTCCTCATGCGCCGTGGGGCTGGCCGGCACACTTGGGGAAGAGAGCGAGAGTCAGAGAGGAACATTTCTATCAACGGTTCACACGCAAAAGATGATGACGGTTACATAAGATTTTTCCTGTGTTATAAGATTTTCTCCACATTTATTCCCTTCCAAAACCCCTCCCCACGGGCACACAGGAGCAGAGCTGCCGATGCTCCTCACCTGGCACGCAGGCAGAGCCGGAGGATGAACCTCCATCGCCGTTCTCCTGGTGGGACACAACCTGCCTGTACTGCCCGAGCACCCGCGTCAGCTTGTCACTGGCCTGCAGGAGCTCAGCTGGGGAAGAGAGGAGAACCAAAACAGTGACCTGCTAACGGGCAGGGCAGGGCAGTTCCACAGCACTCTCCAAACTGCTCGTGACAAAGGGACAGTGCACCCGAGGACCTGCCTGGAGCAAAGGCCGGTGGAGCAGCCTGTCCTCAGCTCCTCACTTGTCTTTCATTCCATTTTGCACACAGTACTGCTGATTTCAGACCTCTCTGTCATTTAGCATGATCACCATGAAATCTGATCCCATCTCTAAAGTACTTCCAGTTCCTGCCATTTCTTCTGCATTTTTCCCAGTGTACTTGAGTCTATAATCCAGCACTCCCCAGCTGAAGTGCCCTGGCATCCATGGATGTGAAAGGAAGGTGTGAGGCACAGCTGAGCTCTTGTGGTTGCTTTTTCAGCTGTCTGTTCAGCAATCACCACCTCAGTCAGGTTTTCAAAACATATGGACAGGACTGTAATGCCATCCTCTGGGATGGGCTAAGTTTCGTAACTGTGGATTTCAAAGATTCTGCTCTTATGACCCTCCTCACTATTACACTTACAAAATTTAAAACATATTCTCCCTTCTGTGTTTATAGACAGGGAAAACTTCAATCTCTGGAGAGAAAAGACCTTGAAAGCCTTCAGTTCTCTGAACATCAGAACTCCAAAAACTCTGGAAACCACCTCAGCTGGAAGAAATGGATTCACTGTTTAACTTTGGCCTTCAAGTGAGAACAGCTTCCTCCTGGAGGGGCAGCAGGAGACTCAGGGCCATTCCCCTGGGTCTGGTGAAAGTGGGGAGCTTTGCCTGTACCTCTGGGTACCGTGTGCCCAAGCACTCCCCTCCCAGAGAAAAGGCACACCCCCGTCACTGAACAGGTGACAAAATGAGCTGCAAAGAAATGCAAGGACAGTGCTGGCTCTTACCTAGAACCTCATCGTCAGCCACCGCCTCGCTGGCCAGGCGGAAGAGCAGCGGCCTGAGCTTCTCACAGCGCTGGAACAGAGCCTGGGGATGAAATGTTTCGTGTCGTTGCTCAGGAGATCCCCGGCACACTCACTCCTGTATCTCCATGGTCACCTATAAGTGATGCTCCCTCTAGAAGAGGGAGGAAGAAGAGCAGTTATGCAGAAAAAAGAACATTTACCTGTAGGGTGTCCTGGTCAGCTGGGGATAATTCCTGTCTCCTGTAGCTCTCCAGTAACTCATCCATATGTTTGACAATCTCAGAAACCTCGCTGATGGCGTTCAATCGTCGGGACACCTGAGCTGACTTTTCTTGCTCCTGTGATGAAAAATGAAATAAAGGTCAATGATGATTTGGCTGATATGGCCAGTGCATGTGCTTGGCTGGGGCACTCTGGGTCACGCTTGGGGAGTTCCTTCCTATAAATACCTTATTGCAGGTAGAGGAGACGCAAAGCAGGACAGGTGAGAACATGCCCCCAGCTGCATCCCACCTTCATGCCAAGGGCAGAGAGAGAATCCCCCTGCCCCACTCAGGGCACCCTGGCCCTGTGCTGCTCCACATGGAATCCATCTCACCACAGGCACGAGTGAGACTTCAAAATTCAAACTGGGAGTTGGTGGTTTCTGCTACACAGAACAACATGCTCAAAATGACCGCAGGGATCTGTTAAACCAAATCTCCTACATAAGCACAGAAGTGGGATGCTGTTTCAGATGGAACATGAAAATGGACAGGCTGGACATGCACACACACACTCTGTGCAGGAAAGAAGCAGTTCTGTGCAGATGTGGCTGTTTTCCACCTAGGAACTGAGTTTATTTTGGGAACTTCCTACCACTACTGCAGTCCTACTGCCAGGATCCCACTGATGGGGAAGTGTCCCACCACCCAGGCTCCTGGGTATAGACATTCACATCTTCCCCTTCCTGACAGTGGCATACTTTGGCAAAACAAAACAAAATGGTCTCACACTGTAAATTCAGAATAATGAAGACTGAAAATGGCCCCTCCTCTGGAGCTGTATTCTGATCCAGTACGGAGGGTCAAAAACTGAATGGCCACATCCCCTCCCACCCTCCCTGGCTGCAAACAGGCTTCTCCCCCAGGAGCTCCCACCTCTCTAACCACACTCTGGATCAGGTGGTTGGCTGCCTGCAGGTCCTCGGGGTGGCTGCTCTTCAGAAGCCTGGCCAGGAGCTGTCAGGGCAGAGATGGGACAGCAGTGAGCAGCAGCCTCTGGGCACTGTGCTACAGGCACACATCACACACGAGACATTCCAGTTCCTGTAATCCTGGAAACCTGTGGGCTCCTGTCCCGTGATCTAATTCAGGTTATGCTGCTGCCTGCACAGAGTTTGGCTGTTGGGATTAGGAACTCTCTGGCTCATCAGAATTTCTGTATGACCCAGAGAAGCTCTTCCTTGGGAAGGTTTCATAGAAACTGATGCTTTTCTATAAAGAAGTTTCACTTTTTACTAAGCAAACATTTCTGACAAAGCCTCACAGCATTCTCTAGCTTTGTACCACAGGAAGGATCAACATTATTCTGAGACAGTTTCTTTGAAACAGCATAAGCTCCCAAAGGTTACTAAGCCTCTTCTCTTATCAGTACAAATCAGAGGGTGCATCATGAAAACTCTAAGGTTTACCTTGGATTTCTCTTCATCTGTGTCAAAAATAGAATTCTGGGGTCTTGGAGAAGGCGGGGGTAAAATTTTGTCTTCTGGTAATTTGGGATCTTCTTTAACAATCCCTGGAACAGGTAACAGCAGCTGTTCAGTGCTGTCCAAGCTTCTGAAACCCTGATGCTCAACAGTGTGGGAGGTTTTGCATGGGATTTCTGGATTATCACTAAGGACTATTAAATATAATGGAATGGATAAAAAATTCAGCTCAGGAACCCTCTGAACTCATCTATCATAATCCTGGGAGAATATTCCAGGGGCAAAGATCATTCTGAGTTTGTCCTGTATCTTTTCCCTGCACACAGTGTGAGCACTGTGTGAACAGAGGCCTCCAGGCCAGCCTGAGCTGTGATTCAGGGAGGCTTTTCTGTGGTAAATCCTTTTAAACAGTTCCATGCACCCTTCAGTGCCCAACCAGCCTGGGAAGTGTGGCACACAGCATGTTATGAAAAAGCTGAGTCACAAATGGAAGGGGTCAGATATCTGTGGGGGGAAACCATGTGGCTTGGGAGGCTAAAAAGGAAACTGAAATAACAGAACTGAACCTTGTTTCTTCAGCATCTGATAAGCATCCCGGATTTTGACTTCCTGGGGAAACCAGACTGTCCAGCTGAATATCACTTCTGTGACTCTCAACTTGACTTTGTCTGAAGACCAAGTTCCATAGTACTGTAAACAAAATGGTAAAGAAAGATAAAATTTTAAGGTCAAACCCAAAGCACTGGTGCCAGATCTGGCACAGGGATCTGGCCCTGAGGAGTTTGTGTCCAGAGACCAAGGAGAAAATGGATTCATAAGAGTTTTTTCACAGTGCTTTTGGGGTTTAGGGAACAGTGCATCTAGCTGTGTCTGTAAACAAAAGGAATGCTATTAAGTGTACGATAATTACATACATATTGTATGACAATCGGAATTAAACCACTTGAAAATTTTCTGATTAGTCATTGGATCCAAAATCCAAAGGAGGTTGTTTTATTTCAGTAAAAACAGATCTGTGCTTAACTTTAACCACTTCCCTTAACTGCTGCAATGCAATTGCACCATCGGCCCAGCCAGCCCCAGGCACAGGAAAACTGAACAAAACCAGAAACAAAAGTTACTGTCTTTTATCAGCATCTGGATGTTTTCTCCAATTTCTCTTATTATTGCCTGGGAGCACTCACTTTAACGTATTATAAAAACACAAACCTACCCAAGCTCAGGCATTTCAAAGTTGTATGAGGGTACCTGTCCTGTCAGAGCAGCAAACAGAATTGTTTGCAGTGACACATTCATTAAACTCTGTGGTTTCACTGGAATCTCATTACCAAGCCTGGGACTTGGAGAAGGGGTTTTGTTCTTCAGTTGAGAATTGCTCTGAAATCAGCTTTTTGCAGCTCTGCCCTTGGGCTGATGCAATGGGAAATGAAACATGTGCCAGTGGCAAATGTGTGCAGGACCCACCGAAATGGGCAAGTGATGACTGCGATGCCAAGAAGGTATTTCAGGCAGTCCCAGGCCTGTCCTGATGCAGAGGAACATGGTGAGAAGATCCCACAGCCTCTGATAAAGGGGGGCTGCATTTCTCATCCTGAAAGGTCCTGTAACCACCACCTACCTTTGGGGAAAGCACTTTAACCAGCTCATTCAGAAACCTGAATTTTGCTATTTCGCTGTGAAATCTGTCTCCACAGTTGTTCACACAGGTCTCCAGCACCTGCAGAAAACAAAATGTTACCAACAGGAACCGTACAAACCAGGTTTGGGGAGCTTTCAAAAACTTTGCCATTTTAATCCTAAATCTAAGAACTTTCTGGCCCTGCATTCACAAATACAAGACACTGAGAAAATTGTGCAGCAAGGACACGTACTTTTCCTTCACCAGCTTTCTATAGCAGCATGTTTAAGATTGTCTGCTCTGTTCTACTTATCACTAACAACTTCCAGGCCACTGCCCTGTGAGGGGACACAAGTCACACAGACAGAGCTGCAGATGACAGAAACACCTCAGCTGAGTGATGTGGGGAGGAACAACAGCAGCTACTCCCTCTGCTCTGCCCTGGTTCCTGTATTCCTTGTGCAAGGGAAAGTTAAAAGGGAGAGATATCCAAGAAAAACAGAAAGGGAGAGACATCGAAGGGAAGAGAGAGCTGTACTGTCTGCTATGCTGCTCTACTCACCAAATTCTGTTCCCAAGTGTGGATGGAAGTACTTACCGTGAGCGCATGGAGAGCTTCCCTCTCCTGAGGGGACTGGATTTTATGTGCCAGCAGCCTCAGCGCAAGCAATGGGCTGGGGAGGAGCAGAAGCAAGTCAGACCACAAAGTTCCCAGGAAAAAAAAACGCTGCTGGTTTTGCTCTGCAGAGAAGAGCAACTGCTGGATTCACAACAGGAGAGACACCCTTCCTCGGGCAGGGCACTGGCCAGGGCTGGCACACACACAGAGCGGAGCCCAGTGATCCCAGAGCTGCCCTCCGGCCATACCTGGGGCTGCTCCTTGGAGGGAGCAGCGGGGACAGGCTGGGGATTGTCTCTGGGCAGGCACATGAGAGCTGGCTCTCCGCAGCCCAGCCAGCCTGTGCCAGCTCCTGGGCACGACACAGGTGCCATTCTGTGAGCTCTGAGCTGTCTGCTCTAAGCACAGAGATGACCACTAAGCTTTCACAGGTCATTTGCCTAATTAGTCCCAGCTACTTCCCACAGAGCCCAGACTCAGCTGGAAAGTGGGGAAGTCCCAGCAGAGATCACCCACTCCTCAGGAAGGAAAAGCCAAGGTTGAGCTCCCTCAGGGTTTCCGTGCAGAACCCCACATCAGGAATCCTTGGCCAGACTCCAGAGAGGCTACTGAGGGCACGGCCAGCTGGACCTGATGCCTGGTGTTGTTCCAGCAATGGATGTCTGAGCCTATTCCCAGGCATCACCCTCCACCAAACACACAGGCATACAGCTATTTCCGACTCATTTCCACTCCCAGGAGCAGCAGAGCCCACCGAGTCCATTCCCAGCTCCTTCTCCAGCTCCCCACACTGTGGCCCCAGGCCCCTTTCCCCCCCAGCCATGAGGGAAGCTCAGAGCCAGACATAGCCCAAGCGAACACGAAGAGCTGTGCCTCTGCCTTACCCCTCTGTGTCGGCGTTCACCTGGTCACAGAAGCGCTGGATGCATTCCCAGTTTTCCTCAGGGATACTTGGGTCAGTGGCCTCGTCTTACAGAGGGAGAAAAATATGAAGGGAAGCAGCAGAGCCCAGCCTCAGTATGAGCGAGTGGCTCAGGGCAGGAAGCGGCTCAGACCTCGCTGCTGCTCTGGGGCTTTTGGTAACACAAATGGGATGAGCAGGAAACAGCTGTTACTAAAATCTGCCAAAAAATACGGTCCCAAGCACACTTTTAAAGTCAGGCACAACCTGATCACAGCAGACATTGCTTTTAGCACAAGAAATTTAAAAACCATTCGCAGGCAGCTCTCCCAGGACCATATGGCAAATGTTGTGCTGGAACACAGGCACCGTTTACCCTTTTGCACAGTAAATTGAGGGAAAAAAGTCTTTTTTTGCTTTATCCACTCCCCAACCTGTTGTTCAACCAGCTTTGGTGGCCGAGAATGGACAGGAGAGCTGAGGAAGAGATACAGCGACAGCACCCAGGAACATCCCCCTAAAGGGGTTCTGTGAAGATGATGGGCCCTTACCCACAGAGCTGAAGCTGTTCCAGTGCCCACCCCGTTTGGAAGTGGCACCGGAGCCAGCGGCCAGGGCAGCCCCAGACCCCACCCCCATCCCCACTCACTGAGCCACCGCTGCAGCTCCCCGGTGCCAGCCATGGGCTCCCGCTCCGCTCCGCCCCGAGCAGGAAGCAGATCCACCCGCCCTTGCTCCTTCCACGCCCCTGGGGGAAGCCCACGTGAGTTTTTGTGGTGTGGAAGTGTTCACTGTGGGCGTGGGCCCAGTAAAACACCCCCCCAAATCCCTTTGGCAGCTCCTCCCCTCGCTGGCGAGCAGAGCATTGGTGAGAACGGAACGAAAAGTCACCACATTAATTTAATGATTAAAAGGGCATCAGACAAAGGAGGAAAAGACACTCCAATCTCCAGATCAGGGATATTTTTAGCAGAACCATGCATATGACACAGTACACAGGGAGGGGAGTTCCCCTCTCCCAGCAGCTCACTTAGCTTGGCAGGACAATAGGGCAGCTAAGAAGGCAGAAGTTCAAATATATATATATATTTCTCTATATAAAAATACCTTCTCCACACAGTATTTCCTGGGGACCTGTGTTGCTGTAGCTGTAGGTACCCTGATTGTGAAGCTATCTCCAAAACGAGACTCATCTGCTGCTATCAGCAGTTACTTCCTGTCCATGTGGTCTGAATTTAAATGTGGGTAAATGTCTTTTTCTCCCACCGTGGAAACCAGGCTCCCTGTACAAACCTGGCTCCCTGCACAAGGTGACAGCAGGATGCAGCTGAATTTGGATTTGGTTTCTTTTCCAGACAAAGTGGTTTGTGCTTAGTGCAGGTACATGCAGACCTGGAAACACCATGGACACCTGTCTGATCAAAACCCAGCTCATCTGATCAGAGATAACCACGCTGAGAACAAAACCACAGGTGGAGGACAATGGCACATGCTCCTGTGCCATCCGAGAGCGGCCTGGCAGTGTCACCGCTGTCCCGTGTCAGCTGCAGAGCGCTCTGTGGATCCGGCCACTCACTTCCTTGGGTCCCAAAGTCACCATCATCTCGGCAACGCTCGGCCCGTGCTGCAAACACAGGAGGAGTCACTGCACACGTGGCAACTGCCACTTCCAGCACGTGGTTATGTGTCACCCTGACCGAACCCACAGAGCTCTCGGATCGCTGTCAGAGCAAGGAGGGGGGTTTGACAGCAGCTCAAACAAGGGTCTGGGGTTTCTCCTCCTGAAGGCAAATGCCAGCCCTGGTCAGATGGACCTGAAGGATTAATGCCAGAGCTGAGCCAGGATTAGGCTTTGGAGAATTTTCATAAAACTTGGTTTTGAGCTCTGTGAAAGCAGATTGCACATAAAATCCCAGTTCTGCCCCAAACCTACAACTTTGCCAATGCTCCCTCCATGGCTGTTCATGATTTTCTGACTTCAGATTCATAACCAGCATATTCATGCTCTGACACTGCTGCTGCTTCCAAGCGTGCAGAACAGCTCTTATGGCAGAGCTGCTGGGTACTGGCACATGTGCTCCACATGGAACTGATGCTGGGCCCTGTGAAGTGTCCCAGTACCAGCACCTGGGAGGAGGGGGAAGAAGAAAAAGGGTGGGGGGGGAAGAAAAAGGAGGAGAGGGGGAAAGGGGAGGGGGGAGTGGAAGAAACAGGGAAAGGCTCCTATTGTCAGACTTCCTGTTTGTACCTGCTGCCCGCTGAGTGCCAGGCGGAGGAGCTGCATCACGCTGCTGTACTTGGTCTCTCTGGTTTGCTTCTGGAGGTTTCTCAGGTCTTTGTTCAACTCCTCCATGGTCAAGGCAGCTGCCTGCCTTGTCATGAGCCTTTAGAAAAGAAAGTATCCTTACAGTCCGAAGACAAGAAAACCACAGGATTCCTATCCTTCACACCATCCCAGTGCCAGGGTGCTCTCTCTGCTCGCCAGAAGCAGAGCTCACTCAAAAGAGCCAGTTTAAGTCACAAAATTGTGCCAAGGACCTGAAAAACCACAGGAAAAGCAGAATTCTGACTGCCTTTTAATAATACAACTTTCAAAGATGAGGAGCCACCACTGACACTCAGTTGAGGCAGCAGCATACTCACCCTAAGACTAGTTTTCCTATGTCATCTGCTTCTGTAGAAATCATTTGCAGCTGCTGTCGGGACACCGAGGGCCTGACCCACAGGTAAGAGTAATCACTCGACACCAGATTCTTCAGGAGGCTGATGTGACCCTGGGGAAAGAAAGCAAAGCTGGCAAGGCAGAAGGTTACACTGTGGGGAAAGCAAACCCATCCAGCCTCGGCTTCACACCAAGCTGGAGACCTCCTCCACACCTGTACCTCACACTGCTCGGAGGAAATGTCACTGCCTGACATTGAGGCAGCCGAGTTTGCCAGCCCCAGAGCCCCTCGGAGGGAGCAGGGACACAGAGGTAGCTCAGAGGCCTGTGGCTGTCTCTGAGGTGCTGAGCCATGTGTGGCTGACTCAGAGCTGGCTGGTGAAGAGGCTGATTATGTTCATCTGCCCCGTCACCAGGCAGTGGGAAGCCATAAGTTACCGTCCCACTGCCACCATACAGCCATCACACTGGGACAGTCGGGTCCTGCCCCTACAAAGAGGGCTTTATCCTTCATAAGGATACTACAGCAGCATCCCAGGAGCAGACTGGGAACAGCTGGGCTCACCCTCCCCTGGCACCCCTTCACTGAGCTCCCAGCACACAAACCACCCTGGTTTCACCAGGAGCTTCATCTGCCTCAGCAGAGGCTGCCTGGGGACTCTGCTTCTAAGCCACAGGGCAGCAACAAAGCAGAACACCTTACACTGCCCAGTCAGCAAAAGGGAGAGGTGAGCTGGCATGAGGGATCTGGGGGCTGGACCTTCCTGCCCCAAGCCAGCTACTCCCTGGGCTACAGGAGAAGTGCAGCTTGGAGATTGTCAGCTTATCTAAACAAAGCCACAGCGGACCTGATCCAGCACTATTGATAGTTCTGCTCTGAGTGGGAACCAGGGAGGTCTTCCAAAAGCACCCTTTACAGTTCCACGATCACTTTCACAGCAGGGACATGTTGTCTCTCCATGAGGGAGCTCTCTGCTAACTCAGCAAGGTATGGATGAGCTTGTGACTCTGTAAAGACCCTCAGGACGTTCACCAGGCCCATTCCCACAGGTCAGCTGCCTGTATCAGGGGATTTTGGCAGCTGGCAAAGTTTTTGGCACACGAGCACTGGAGCAGGCCATGAAGGTGTGTGCAGGTTGTGGGATTCCTCCATCCAGGAATCCCACACCACCTCAGCTCCAGAATGGTGACACAGTGCTATCACTGCTCATACTTTTCTCAGCAGGAGGACTCGCTCCACATATTGCTTTTCCAGAACCTCTGGATCCACTTGCTGATCCCCATAGACGTGCTGCACCAGCTCCTGCAGCTCCCTAACGAGCCTCTGGCGCAGCCCTTCGTTCTCGATGTGACGGGTGAGGTGAATCCTGCAATGGAGAAGAAACCTGCTTTTGGATTGCTCTGGGTTAGATTTGATCTAGTCACCCCAACCACATTTACCAGTTAAAACTGCGGAACTGTTAGAAAAACAACATTAAACCGCAGACAGACTTTCTACAATGAAGCTTTTAGCTCTGGCGCCCCACAGTGAACTGAAGATGAGGCCACTCTTAGCAGCACAACATCCCAGTAGCACGAGTGTTCTTGCAGAAGAACCTTCTGGAAGTGTTATCTCTTTTCAGATGTTATTTTGAAACTAAAGACTTTGCATCCTCCCAGCTACACCCACCCTCTCCCTAGCCTTTCACAGTGTTCCCAACACCAGTGTCCAAGCACAGGACCAAATAGGAGGCAGAAACAGTGTGAACAAAAACTTATACTTCCCTGTAGCACAGCCCAAAAGCTGGTGCATCAAGACCATGCTTGATCCCACAAACAAAACCTCCAGCCACAGCTAAGTGCTAGGAATAAATTCTCACTGGTGTGCTGTTCACTACTTTTAAAAACTACCACCCATTTTTTACCTGTTGAATTCTGGGAGCATTTCAAGATCCAGGAGGGCAGAATGGGTGGTAATCCTGCCTATTTCAAACTGTGAGATCAGCTCCTCCAAAGTCCTCCCCATCTGCTTCTCTGCAACACAAGCCAAAGGGAATCACACGGGTCCACTCTCCCACTGCTTCTCCCCGCAGGCCTCAGGCACAGGGCTGGGGCAGCAGCATCGACGAGGAAAGGTGACACAGGACAGGCACTTGTGCAGTGCCAGCAGCAGCATGGACACCCCTGGCAGGCAGGAGAGAGCTGGCAGCAGGCATGGAACACTCCCCAGAAGCGGGCTCTGCCAGCTGCTGGAGAGGCACTGGGAAATGGCACACTCTGCTTGGCTCCGCTGCCTTCCTCAGCAGAACACCCCCTGCCTCAGTCAGACAAAGAGAAGTGACACTCAGCCAGAGACTTCACTGCCCAAGGAAGATTTCACTCCCAAGCAGAGCTCTCAAAACACAGGTTAATTTGTGATCCCCACACTGCAAGAGCCACAAAAGGAGATTGACTCAACTCCTCGTGGTCTGTCAGGTTAAACAAGAAGCAGGACAGATGTTAGACAGCACTGCAATTATTAACCACGGCATACAAGTTTTCCCAAGAGTTCACAGACAGCTTTTCCACCTCGAGGTGAGGGTTGTCCCAGGTGGGAACTCATTAGACACCAGACTCAATTTAAAAGGCTGCACAGAGGCAGAGAGGTTTCCACCATTCCAGCTCCTTTCACAGGAGCTCTGCAGAAGCCCTGGTGGCATTTCAGTGCTGACTGGCCACTGACATCCATTTCCTTACCCCGTCAAACACTGACAGAGTTCTTAGCTGTGAACATAAACCCAACCCATTGCCTCAAGTCAGCACCAAGTGACCTGGCAGGCAGGGCCCTGTGGTGTTACCTGCAAACCCCGAGCCGCAGTTGGTGATGATGTCCAGCAGTGCCTCTGGCAGGAAGCCATCCCGAACAAAGCGCTCCAGGAAGATGTCCCCTTGCCTCTTGGACAACTTCCCACCATCCTTGTTCAGCAGCAGCGGGAGGTGTCCAAACTGAGGGGGCTCCCAGCCAAAGGCTTTGTAGAGAAGCAGGTGCTTGGAGGTTGAGGTCAGCCACTCGGTCCCGCGCAGCACGTGGGTGATACCCATGTAGTGGTCATCCACCACGTTCGCCAGGTGATACGTGGGGAACCCGTCCCCCTTGAGAATCACGGGGTCGCCTTCCACCTCAGCCACCTCGTGCTTGTTCCAGCCGTAGACCAGGTCCTGGAAGGGTTCCACGCCCTTCTCCAGCCGGAAGCGGACAACACAGTCGAGGCCCTGTGACAGCTTCTGGGCCACTTCCGCGGGCGTCAGGTGCCGACACCGGTTGTCGTATCTTTGGGAGACGAGAACGACAGTCTCAGTTCAGAACAGGCCAAACCCATCAGTCACTTTTACATTCCCAAAACCCTACACTGACCCCTGAATTTCAGCTGTAACCTGCCCAGCACGTGTCCCGGGGCAGGGCTCGTACCGCGGGGTGTGCTGGCAGCGCAGGGCCTCCCTGCGGAGCAGCTCCAGGCGCTGGGGGGTGCAGAAGCAGCGATAGGCAGCCCCACTCTCCAGCAGCGCCGCGCTGGCTCCTCGGTACAGCTCCAGCCTCAGCGACTGCACGTACGGCCCGCGGGGGCCACCTCGGCACGGGCTCTCGTCAGGGGGGATACCTGCAACAGCAGCACAGCAGGACCGAACAGCTGGGCCACCACAGCAGCCCTCACAAAGGCAGGCACACCTGCCCTCAAAAGGAGTTGCTGATCTCTAAGAGAGAAGTGTTCGGTAAGTGAAAAATGAAAGATGTTTCTAAATACCTGCCCAGTCCAACATTTCTTCTATTCCTTCTGCAGCTCCAGGCACCACCCGATTCTGATCTGTATCCTCCACTCTCAAAATAAAGGTCCCTTGGTGTTTTTTGGCAAAGATATAATTGTACAAAGCAGTCCGAAGGCCACCCAAATGCAGAAAACCTGTAATGGCGGGGAAATCAAATGAGCTGGTCACAAAGAAGGCCCAGGGGAGAGTTCTGAACGTGAGCTGGAAGGGTGATGGATGCTGCTTGCAATGGCAGCAGGTCCCAGAGGTTACCGGGGCCAGAGCTGCACCGCACAGACACAGCTCCGGGGACCCTGACTATGGAAAGGACTTATGGATAACTCATTCCAGGAACGGACTCCCTGAAGTGACCTGGAAACCCCTTGTGGGCCGGCACGTCCCAGGGAACACGACTGCCAGCAGAGACCCCGCACAGACCAGATGGCACAAGGAGGTGCCGACAGGGCGAGCCTGGGAGATCCCCAGGGAGCCAGCAGGTGCCTTCCCCGCACACGCCCCTCGAGCGTCCGAATTCACGTTTTCCAACCCAAAGCGCCGCCCCCGCCGCTGCGGAGCCCAGGGGGATGGTGTGCAGTAGCCGGGCTGGCGAGACACCAGTTACCTGTGGGGCTGGGCCCGAATCGCACTCGTGGCCCCCGTGTGAGCCCAGACCCAGACCCAGACCCAGACCCGGCCCCGGCCCCGGCCCCGGCCCCACACGCCGCTCCCGCCGCCCCGCGCAGCACGCGCAGGGCTCGCGCCATGGCTCCGCGCGCACGTGTCGGCGGCGCCGCTTCCGCCCGCCTCAGCCAATCCGCGCGCGCGCCGCGCCAGGGGCGGAGCGTCCCTTAAAGGCGCCGCCGCCCGCCCCCGTCCGCCCGCGCGGAGGGGCCCCGGTGCCCGCGGTGCCGAGCTGGGCCCCGGTGCCCGTCCCGCCTCCCCGCGCGGCGCCGCCACCGCCCCGGGGGCGCGGCCTGCGGGGTCCGCACCGCCCCCGCGCTGAGGGGCGGGCGGGGGCGGCTACGGGAGCCGGCGCGGCCCAGGCGCGGTGGCGGCGTTTCCCGGCGTGCCCCGCGGAGATTGTACACAATCATCATGGCCGCCGCCGCCGCCGCCGCCGATGGTACGCGGGGTCCGGGAGCCCGCGGGGCCCGGGGGGGCTGCGGCCGCGAGCACGCGGTGTCGGTGCGGTGCTGCTCTCTGGAGCCGGCGGTGCCGGTGCCCGCGGGGCCGGGTGCCTGCGGTGCCGGTGCCTGCCGTGCCGGTGCGGGTGCGGTGGATCGGGCAGGGACGGGACGGGACGGGACGGGACGGGATGGGATGGGATCGGGGCGGCCTCGGGCACGCTGCGGCGGCGCTCCGGGGCTGGAGCGCGGCTAGGCCGGGCACCGTGCCCCGGGCCGGGCTCTTCCTGTGCGCTCCCCGCAGGTGCCGAGGAGCCGGGCATGGAGGCAGAGGCGCAGCAGCTGCCGCTGGGCTGCGGCGGAGGGGGCGGCTCACCGGCGGCGGGGAGGTCCCCGGAGGGCGAGGAGCGCCGGGAACCCCTGCAGGCGTCTGTCAGCAACGGCGGCGATGCGGAGAGCGGCAGGGAGCTGGTGGAGCTGAAGGTGATCTGGAACAAGAACAAGTACGACGTGAAGTTCTGCCTGGACAGCACGGGGGCCGAGCTGAAGCAAAAGATCCACTCCCTCACAGGTGCGTTGGGGCCTCCGCCTCCCCCGCGCCTTCCTCGCCGCCCCGCGGGGTCCTAATCGCTGTGCTTGTCTCTAGGCCTCCCTCCGGCCATGCAGAAAGTTATGTTCAAGGGACTTCTGCCAGAGGAGAAAACGTTGCGGGAAATCAAAGTTACAAACGGAGCAAAAATAATGGTTGTGGGCTCTACCATCAACGATGTGTTAGCAGTAAATACACCCAAAGAAGCTGCTCAACAGGAGGTCAAAGCTGAGGAAAACAAAAAGGAGCCACTTTGCAGACAAAAGGTTGTTATTAACGTCTCAATAATTGCTGTTGTGGGAGAGCTGTAAGATTTACATGGTTCTTCTGCAGGCAACTCTGGGTCCTATTCCTCTTCAGAGCAGGATGGGGGTTCATTTCTTACAGCTTAGCATTGGAAGGGCTCTGGGCAGGGAAGTTCAGCAGCAGAGAAGTGTTTAGCCCAGCAGGGACTGGGGCTTTGCTCACAAAAAATGGCAAATAACGGATGGCTGTTAGTGCGAACACAGTCCAGATTAATTCAGTCTAAAATCTAACTAATTTTTATTGGCATAAAAGAATTTGGTCTCCAAAAACTGCTTAAAGTGAACAGCAAGAGAGCAGCTCCTGCTGCTGTCCCAGCACTGAAGGGGACAGAGGTGTTGAATTCTCCTTTCGTGTCTTTGAGCACAGCTCAGTAGGTTGGTTTGGTGGTGGGGCTAGTAAAGGATTTCCAGTTCAAGGTGTTACCAGCCATGTACCTTCCTCAGAATAAATTTGGTTAAAATTAAGTAGTGCACCCTTGAACTGCAGCCTCTATGAAACATGCTGTGGGTGTTCTGTGGTTTATCATCGTTTATCATCTGAGTCCCATCATTGCTTAAAGAAACCCGGCCAGGTACAAGCTGTGGTTGTGTATTTATCAGTTACTGTTGCTCTAATCCATTCTGGTTTGGTGCTGGGTCGCACTGGCAGACGTGGAGGGTTTCTGCCATTCCCTGGATGTAGCACTTGCCTGTTAAAACTATCAAAATGCCAAATGGCATATACGGGGTCAGAGTGGGACTCGGGAGTCCTGTGTGTTTTACAGACATACATTTATGTGTCTGTGTATTCTAGAACAGTTCTTACCCTTGGCATTATGTTGGGGCTCTTTCAATTTTTGTCATTTCTTTCAGAGTGTCTTAGTGCTCAGTTAAGTTTGAAAATAACTGGTCTCCATGTGATGTCTCCATGCCTGTGGACAGCCCTCCGCTGTCTCTCGGTGCAGTCAGGATGTGGTCAGGGGAGCAGCTGGAAGTACATTGCAAAGCTCTGTTGTGTTTCTGTCAATTTAATTTCTGTTTTTATATTGTAGCAACACAGAAAAGTATTGGATAAAGGAAAACCTGATGATGTGATGCCTTCTGTCAAAGGCGTGCAGGTGCGTGAATGTTACGGGCTTGAGACGCTCAGAGTGAGAGAAGAGACTTTCTTGTGGTTTGAGACCTTTCTCTGCTGATTGAATTGGTTTTTGCTGTCTTAGCAGAAAGCTGGAAAGATGGATGGTCCTTATGCTTAAAACATTGAGAGAATGTAGCTTGTCTGTCCCGGTCCCTCAGTGACTGACTGTGTCCCTTTGCAGGAGCGCCTGCCGACGGTGCCACTGTCTGGCATGTACAACAAGTCAGGGGGGAAAGTCAGATTGACCTTTAAACTCGAGCAAGACCAGCTGTGGATTGGTACAAAAGGTGAGCATCTTTCAGCCTTGGGGGTGAACAATCGGTAATTGGGCTGTGACTGAGCTGTGACCTAGAAAAGCCTCTCCTGTGACTAAAGCGTGTTTAGGGAAGGATGGTGGCATTGCAGTGCTTCAAAACGAAACTTTGATTCCTCTTCTGACATGCCATTCTCCCAGATCACTGAGTAGTGCTGGATATTCCACTTCTCTTCCTGAAAAACTGGAGTTCAGTGGGTGCCAGCAGACTAATGGTCCAGTGTGCTATTCCTGGCTCCAAATGTAAATGATGATATTTGGCACTTCTGGCATATCTCAGAAGCACTCCATAAATATGGATTTGATGCCAAGAGCACACAGAGGATTAATGGCTTGGCCAAGGCTCAGAAGGGAATCTCAGAACTGGGATTAAAACCAGGAGTGCTGGCATCTCTGGCACTCTGTCCTTCCAGCCAGAATTACTTGTCTATCTTGTCCCAGTGAGGCACAACTGTGGTGCTGTGCAGAGGGGTCAGTTTGCAGTCGTGAATGGTACCAGGAAGAGCTGGGATTGACGTGGGGATAACGTGCCTTGCTGAGGATGTCTGTGTCCTGGCTTGGGCTGGGATATAGTTAGTTTTCTTCCCAGTTGCTAACTCGGATTCAGGGTGGGAATAATGCTGATAAGAGCTGATGTTTTGGTTGTTGCTGCACAGTGCTTATCCTCAGTCAAGGACTGTTTGGTGTCTCAGGCTCTGTCCAAGGAGCTGGGAGGGAGCAGGGCCAGGACAGCTGGCCAGAGGAATATCCCCCACCACAGAGCATCGTGTCCAGTGTAAACTGGGGGGAGTTGGCTGTGAGGGGCTGGTCACTGCTGAGGGACACGCTGGGCATTGGTCAGGGGGTGGGGAGCAGCTATGTTGGGCATACTGGTTTCTCTTGGGTTTCGTTTTTCTTTATTGCTATTATTATGATCAGTAGTAGTACTATATTTTCCTTTATTTCAATTATTAAACTGTTCTTACCTGTACCTGTGAGTTTTTTACTTTTTTCCCCAATTCTCCTCCCCATCCCAGTGGGGCAGGGGGAGTGAGTGGCTGCATGGTCCTTAGTTGCCACCTGGGGCTAAATGGGACACTGGGATACCCCCTGCCTCCCAGGGAAGCTGTGCTCCTTCAGTTTGACCAGGATGGCCGATAAATAGTGATGAGCAAGAGGAATAAAAGTGCTTGCTCACTGTCCTAGCAAGGTAGCCTAATTGGATGGTAATATTACCTCCAGCTGGTACAGTATTTCCAAAGTAAGCAGAAATCCTGGAAGTTTTTGACCTTTCCTTTGTAGGACAGACTTGACTGTGAAGATCTTTCTGGCTCTAAAACCTGTCTTCGTCTCAGTTGCAGTCATTTCTCTCCTGGGCCAAGTGATGGAACGAAGTATTTGGTGGTGTTTCTTTCTCTCTAGGTTGGGGAGGCAGATGTTTCTGTTACTGATTCTGTGTTCTAAATCCATTCTTAGTATTTAGGTGATGAATCTCTTCCTTCACCTTCCACATGAATTTCAAGTATAGTGTTTCTGAGGCGTTCTAGATTAAGCTTTGAAATTTGATTCTTCTTGTAGTCATCCATCCTTCCTGTAACCCGTTTCCCTACTTCCCCAAATTAGCAGCAGATTGCTTTCTCTAGGGAATGGCTGTAATTGCTGCCTGGTTTCAGGAAAACCTCCTTTTGCTCTGAGAAATCCATGGCAGAGGCTAGCATGTACAGGCTGAAGGAAACCCACCTGGGTGTCCGCACAGCTGGCTGCTGTTGGAAAGTTGGAGCTGGTTCTTCCCCCTGCAGCCTCCCTGGGCCTCACAGGGCGTTTGTACAGGTGTTTGTAGGGCAAAGTTTGCCCGTTGCTCTGGTCAGTTCTGCAGAGGCATTGATAATGTGGATTTTGTCTATTACTGGGATACTCTGAGCAGTAATCGGTTTGGGGAATCCTGAACGAGGGCAAAGTGAGTTTTTACCCCATGAACAAACTCATGAGTCTAAGCAGGCTTAGTTACAGCACTGAGGCAGAGGGTGTTTGTCCTTACATCACTGAGTTTATCTCCCTACGTACCTTTTTTGGGTAGGTGTTGTTTTATTGATTACACAAATCAGTTAGGTTTATATCAGGAACTCAGTTTGGTTTGTCCTTTATAGAGTGTTTTGGGTGTTCGCTGTCTTGTATCTAAGTAGATACTTTTAGGCTGATGCTGAACACTGGCACTGAAAGGCAGGATCTTGAAATTAAGTGTTCAGAGAGAAGTGAGGACAGAGCTGACAGGAAAACTGCCCTGGACCATGTACTTAGTTGTTCTTGTTGGTGCCTGTGACTGGATGATGTTACTCTGCCATGTAACTGTAGCCTTTTTTGGTTCTGTTTCTATTTGTTTCTGTCCCTGTTTGCTCTTTTATATCCCCTTACCTGTGCTTCTCTGAACACTGCCCCAGGGTAGAGCCAGGCCTAGGCTTTCAGGGTTAGGTCAGCCCTTCTTCGCCAGCTCTCAGCCCTGCTGTTTATCTGTAGAGTTCAGTGTAATCCTTGGTAGTTGGCTCGGAATACTCTCACACCCAGACTAGATTCCATTGGGATGGGCAATTCTGCTGTTCCGAGGGGATCTGTTCCTAATGGGAAAACATGAAATAAAGCCTGGGTTTTCCCATCGCTCAGTCTAGGCCCGAATCAGGAACACTGAAGTGCTTCTTGTGGTGCAGAGCAACAGTGTTTTGGGTTCTCTCATGTTGTTGTGGTGCCAGCTGGGGAGGGCTGGTGCTGTGGCCACCAGGTCCTGGGCAGCAGGTACCCAAACTCACCTGAGGGGGTGACTGCTGACCTGAGGGGCTTTTGGCACCAAGGGAGGTGATAAATGAAATTGATATGAAGTATTGCTTTTCCGCACGTCAGAAATAATACTGTGATCAATTTTAATGTAGAGAGAACAGAAAAGTTACCCATGGGGTCCATTAAAAATGTGGTGAGTGAACCTATTGAAGGCCACGAGGATTATCACATGATGGTGAGTAATAGCACTACTTTAATCATATCCCTCTAATTCCTTCATGCAGAACACACCAGGGAGGCTGTAGATTGGAGCAGGTTGGAGGTGGATGGTGGTTCCAACCTCATGGGGATGGGAATGTGGGCTGCTGTCACAGGGTCAATATTTTGGGTCCATATTGAGTATCTGCTGCTGTGTGGAAGTCTGGGCTGGTTTCACACAAACATGAAGTGTTTAGGCATTATTTTGTATCTTCAGACCGTGACAGTGTTAAACCAATAAAAATACTTACAATGTAGCTCATCATTTCTTAGTGATATTTTTCAATACTTGGTTTGATTTCTAATGTCTATGGTATTTATATAAACAACAGGCCTTGCTGGAGATTAAAAGAAAAAAGGACTTGATGCTGCAATATTTTTTCACAACTGTAATGTTCTGAACAACTGGCATTGGATATAGCAAAGTAACAGTTCAGAAGAGAGCTGTGCTAATGTACTGAATTTTTGTCTGTTTCTTTCAATCTGTGGGTTTTTTCAAAGTACAGTAACTAACTTTTAATGTTAAAGTAAGTTTCTTTCCAGTAAGAAGTCTATTTCCTCCTTTATGGGGAGAAAAGAAAAATGTTTTACCTTAGAATTATTGCTTGCAGGAGGGTAGTGCTGTAGTCTCTGTCCAAATGCTTAATTTTTGTTCACCCATAGGAGAAAAATGTCCTCTTCAGCACATGTTGCAATAAATTTATCCCACAGCAAGGACAGAGGTTCTGGCACACCATGGTTGAGAATAGGACATTATGTCTAAATATAAAATCCTATGAAATGTTATGACTATAAAAACACAGTCATTGTCTTGTTTAGTTCCTGTTTTGGCTTCTCAGCTCTGTCTTCTCTTTAGAGACTCTGAGTTATGCTTCAGATTGTGTTCCAGAATAGCTTCCTCATGTTCTTGAAACTGGCTGTGAGTTTTGGTTGCTGCTGTGGTGTTGTAAAAGGGAAGAGGTCACTGTTTTATTGGTGCTGTGCAGCTTTTGTTTTTCTGGAATGCTCCTTTAATTGCCCACTGAAGAGCTGTAGCGTGCACTGGGTGCTGGAGGGAGCAGCAGGTGGGGCACACTGGGCTGGTTTGGCAGTGGATGAGCTGTGCCTGTCCCCTGGGGTCAGCAGTTTGTTCCCATGTGTAAATGTTGTCATTTTTAATTGCAGGCGTTTCAGCTGGGCCCAACAGAAGCGTCTTACTACTGGGTCTATTGGGTCCCAACTCAGTATGTGGATGCAATCAAAGACACGGTGCTGGGGAAGTGGCAGTATTTTTGAAAGCACGCTCACCTCTGGCACAGGAAAATGACACAAAGCTAAGGACACTGCTGGGAGAGGCCTCCAACATCCCTGGATGTGACAGTCCTGGAACTTATTGATAAAACATGCTAAACGAGGCGTGGATGGAAGCCAGAGGTGATGTTCTTTCACCATTAGTTTACTTTTAACTTAAAGATTTCACCATCCCTTTTCTGCAGTCAGCTTCAACCATATTTAAAGCAAATACAATGGAAATCAATAAATCTTAATTCACAAAATATTATGTGTAATACACTTAAATCTGCTGAGAGTTGATCTTCCAGTTTAGTTTTAAAAAGAAAAGATTGCGATGTATTATTGAGGATTTTTTACATGGTTTGAACAAAAACAAATATTTTCATAATCTTTCAGTTATCAGCATTAGACTTAATTTAGTTACTTGGCTGTGACTGAGAATTTCAGGAGCAGCTTTTTAAGAACAAACTGTAGCCGTGCGCAGCGTTGCTGTTGGGTGAAGCCATATCCCACCAGCCCTTCAGGGCAGCTTCCACTCTTTGGTAGCAGAACTAATTCTTTGTTTTAACCCAAAGATGCTTGTTTGGGACTTCTCCTTGCCTTTTCCCAACGCTGACATCTCTGGGTTGGTGTCTGTAGCCTGTCTGGAGCAGATGAGTTCCCTGGGGATGTTTTGTGGCAGGTGACCCAGTGCTGCCTGCTGTCCCCGGTCAGTGGTTCACCTCCTGTCCCAGGCTGCTACAGTCTGGGAGCATTTTCTTGCATATTGCAGTCCAGAATCACTTTGCAGCTGCTGCACTGACACTGACCCGTTGGATTGGAAACACCCTCGTGCTGCCTGGTGTGAGCAGGGGGACACAGTGACATGGATGGAAACACCGTCACACTGTCTGGCATGAGTGGGGTGACACCGGCCTCCTAAAGGGAGGGAAGCACAGAGTCCTTCCTGCCCTGTGTGAGGTGGGAGGAGCGGGGAAGAGAGAAGCTCAGATGCTGTTTTGGATCCTTAATAACTGCAGCAGTCTTTTGTGACCTGGATTGGAAAATTTAATAGTGATTTTTGAATTCACTGAATTGTACCAAATTTAGATTATCTATCCAGCAACTGATGTTTTGAAATGTAAATCACCTTCCAGCTTTTCTCCTGCTCCAGTTCCCAGGAGGCTCTCACACCTCATCCTGTCTGAACTAATGTGCCGGGCTCCGCGTGTCATCCCAGCCATCCACGTGCCATTTCTCTCAGGTGTTGCGATCAGAGCCCTCAGCCCTGGACAGGTGCATGCCCACAGCAGGTGCCACTGTGCAGCCAGACTGGAGCAGCTCACACATCCCTACTCTGTGTTAGTGCTGGGGCACTAACATGGCACACAGCTGCTCCATACCAGTAGCTCCAACTCGTGGAGAAACAGCCTTTTAGGAACAGCTGATTTTAATATACTCCATGTGCACTTTTCCCTCTCCTTGAAAGAGCACAGGTGAAACTCATCAGGTGCAAATTCCCAAATGAGTATTTATTTTATTTTTATTTTACTTGGGAGACTGGGAAAAGCATTGGCTTTCTGGTAGGTGTTAAGGTCACATATTTCCCTGTAGCCTCTTGATAGCTTTTGGGTTGCATTTTCTGTTAGAACAGTCATGCAATATGAATTTTAAAGGTGTTTCATATCCTACATAGAAACTAGTGATGTGCTTGTTACTCTTGTAGCTTGAGGTATTTCCCTTCTGTGTACAAGCCAGCAGCAGTGTGTCCTGACACGAGTGGCTTGGGGCAGAAGAGCCGTGTCAGCTCCCCTGGCTGTTCTGTGGAGTGGTGAGGGCAGAGGGGAGCTGTCCTGAGTTAACTGGTGACAACGTTATGGAAGAAACGCAGCCACACACATGTCATTTTTCTGATTGCCAGTCCTGGTGTTAAGGCTTAAATTTACAATTCATTATCCAGTGGAAAGTGTGGGCGCTGCAGAATAAAGAGAAGGGATAACACTGGCTCTTTCTGTCACCTGAGGTCACCTTGGCACTTACCACCTTCCTGGCTGGGTGATGATCAGCTCCCATTTGCTCCTTGACTTGCTCGGACCTGTCTGTGCATCCGTTCATGTTCCGTTTCCTTTCCTGTTCCTTCGTCCCCTTGCTCCTGGAGAGGGCCCGTGCCCGAGTTCCAGCTCCTCCCCAGCTCCTGTGCAGGATGCAGCGACCGGGTGAGTAACTCTGGGGCGAGTGCCAAGGGGGGCAGGTACTGCCCCTGCTGCTGAGGCACCGGGACGCAGGGCAGCTCTTCACATTCCTGCTGCTCCTTGTCCAGGGGCAGTTACTTTGCATCCTGGGCCAGGTACAACCCAGCAGCTCGAAAGAAACTGAACACAAACCCCTTGGTTACATGCAAAGCCATTTTAAACATGAAGAAAATACTGTAAACTAAGAAAATGTGATCCTGTTTAGGTGCTTCCTTTCGGGTTGGATTTGATTGGAGAAATGAAATTGTTTCACTTTTTTGTTCTATGTGCAAAGTTTGAATTAAAATATAGGAAAGTGACTTACAAAATGCTTTAGTTGGTGTTTATTGGCTCAATATCCCAGGTTTCATGCAAGTTCTTTGAAATTAATATTCCAGCTGTAGTTAGCAGCACCGCTTTTAAGATTATTTCTCTTTGGGAACGATGTGGAGCCTTGCGTGTTCTGGCTTACACTAGTTTTTCCAAGGCAGTTACTGACATTAAAAACACCCTCTCTTTAGTGGGATAGTGCCACGGTTGCCTCAAAGCTGTTGCCAGCCTTTCTTGGCTTTGGATTTTACTCTCTGGTCGCTGTGACCATCTCATGGCAGACTCAGTGTAACCGATGGTCCTGGCAGGAGTTTGGTGGTTGGTCCTCAGTGAGACACAGCTTGCGTGTGAAGTGCGAGTACACTCGGTATTTGGAGCTGGTGACAAAGATGGTTCTGAGATCTGTAATCTTCTGTAGGAAGTTAATGGTAACAGCTGCTCCAAAGTGTGTTTTGGTCAAATTACAATTTAACAAGGTGCTTTCAATAGCAACTGGTTCCTGCTGTGTGTAGGTGTGATTCCCTGGGAGCATCCTGGGGTGCAACTCCATTTGAGGTTACACTAAATGCTTTCTGGGTTTGCTAATTGCAGATTAAAGCATCCAAGGGGCAAATGTGGGTTTCTGCAGCACACAGCTGGTGTTTGCTGGTGGCTCCCAGTGCCTGGGCAGTCCCCTCTTGCCATCTTTTGGGAACCCCTCCCGTGTCAATCCCCGAGCTTCCTACCCTGTTCTGTGACACTGGGCATCACAGCTCACCTGTGTGCCATCCCTTTCCCTTCTCCGTGCCCAGTGCTGTGGGTTTCTCTTCCTCTCCTTGTCTCAAGTTCAGTATTCCTTTTCCATTTCTGCACCCCAAGTGTAGGCAGTCTTGGGATCAGTATTGTGTTGGGAATGCAGGAGTGTGTTGCTTAGCCTGGTTGGGTTTGAACAGAGACTGTGTCTTGCATGAAGAGCTTGTGTTACACGGTTTTGTACCGAGTTTAAAGTCAATGGTTAATTTCCATTGATGACACTGATGAGGAAGGTGTAACTACAGTCAGGATGTTTTGGTGATGGTAGAGAATGATCTTGACTCAAATGAGGTAAGAAACTGTCACTACCCTGGTGCTGTGCCCATGGCACACACACACCTGCCCAGCCTGTACCTGCCAGCCAGTGTGTGCTGTTCTCCCTGCTCTAAAGGGCCAATTCCCTGCTGTGCCACTGCCCAGGTGCCACACTAGGGTCCACTCTGCACCCCCTGCCCAACAGCCATGGTCCCTGGCCTCACCAGTGCCACTGGCACGGGCACAGCACTCCCTGCTCCCGTCCTTGCTGTGCCCACACCACAGGGCTTGTTTCCAGACTTCCTTTCCTTTGATTACTTTTCTTCCTCTGTAACTTGGTTTTTCCAGTGGAGCCGTTTTCACCCTCAGTTCTGTACTCCAGCCTCTCCCCACCTGTTAGGATGAGGCTGTTGGTATCTTGTTTTGTTAATTAATGTCCTTGTCACTGGGGGGGGAGGAGGGGACCAGGAAAGCCGTAATAAGTCTTGTATGAAATGTGGCCATTTTACCTTTTAGCCAAGGATTCACCTTTGTGACTCATGGAAATTCACTCTGTCTTATTCATACTCAAAGCAATTCATTCTTTGGTTTTATATTAAAAAAAAGTCTTAGATACTTGTGTCCACTGCAGATTTATTTTAAATGGAATATGTGAGTACCATGTATTATGGTATTTTTAAATAATCTATTGCCTATTTCAGGGGGAGGGGGGAGATGGCAAATATTTAGTCTTAGATTTGCACTGCTGGATTTTTTAAGTGTAACCTTGATTGGTTATCCTTGTGTTTTATTCTGTAAGATTAGTCTTATGAATTAAAGTTTGATAATTAAATATTTTTTTGAGTGTTTCCATATTCTGTATGTACCGAGCTGCTTCTTCCTGCATGAACAGCTGCGAGCAAAGGGTTTGTCATGAGTTTCTTTGCCGGGAGAGGGACACAGGCAGAAATTCAGGGGATCCAGTGCTGGGTGTCACATTGGAACTGTGGGTGTGGATTTAGGTGCTGCTGCCCTGTGCCACCACGCACACATAGGCTGTGAGTTACAGGATGGTCCCTCTCCACCCCCTGCCCAAAGCCAGACTTTAATTTCCTTTTACACCAACCTTGTCCTGGTCCTGCGGGGCTGGCCCAGCCCTGGCTGCGGTGTCACAGTCCCGTTTAGCAGCCCCCAAAGGTGCTGTGGGGCAGACCCCGTGCTGGGCTCTCAGCAGCCTCACCTTTGTCTGAACGGCTTTAGGCACCTCCTGTCCCCCCAGCGCTGAGACAGTTCAGGAGAGGCACCACACAGATAAATCCCAAATCTGCTCTGTCGTTCTCCCAGCGTACCAGGGGGCACGTTCCCGCTCGGTTTAGTGTCCAGGGTTCAATACCGAGTTCACGGGGGGGGAATCCCCCCGCTGTCCCTCGGGCAGAGCTCCCGGCACAGGGCACAGGGCGCTGGGGCTGGGCTGAAGCGGGTCTGAGTGTGAGGGCGAACCGCCGGGCAGGGCTGCAGGGGCTGCCCCTCGTTACCGGGGAGAGGAATTTTTCCCGGCTCGGTGCCCGGGATGTGACCGGTGCAGGGATGCGGGGGGTGTGCGCTGATCGCGGGGGCGGCTCCTCCTGGCCCGACAACGCTCGGGAACCGCGGTGGGGACGGGGAGGGGGCCCGGGGTGTCCCGGAGCGCGGGGGGGGCGGAAGCCGCGTCCGGGACCCGCCCCGGCCCCGCTGACTCACGGAGACGGCGCGGCCCGGCCAGGCCTGGCCGGGACATGGGCGGCCCAGCCGCGCCACCGCTCCGGGGGCTCCGGGGGCTCCTGCCGCTGCTCCTGCCGCTGCTCCTGCCGCTCCTGCCGCCGCCCCCGGCACAGGTACGGCCTCGCCGGGAGCTGAGGGGGCTCGGGGGAGGGACAGCGCCCGGGGGGCGACAGTGCTGTGAGGGGGGAAACGGTGTGGGGAGGGACCGTGCCCGGGGGGCGACAGTGCTGGGAGGGGGACAGTGCGAGGAGGGACAGTGCTGTGTGAGGGGCAATGCTGTGAGGGGGACAGTGCGGGGAGGGACAGTGCTGTGTGAGGGGAGGTACAGTGCGGAGGGAAGATCGAGGGGGACAGTGCGGTGGTTCCTGCGCGGGTGCCTGTGCTCGCTGTGCCCCGCGTGTCCTGCGGGAGGGCTCCGACACACGAGTGTTCGTGTTCGCCGGGTGTGACAGTGCGGGCAGGGACATCCCCTGCTCGGGTGCGCGGGCTCCGCTTGTGCCACCGCTGAGCGCGGAGTCCAGCACACTGAGGGGCGGGCGTGGTGTGGGCAGAGGGGCCGGGGTGCTGGCGTGGGGGTCCCGTGGCCATCGCCGCTGTGCGATGGAGCCCCGCAGGTTGTTCTCCATCCCCACCCCTGGGCCTGGCTGCTGCCGGGAGCAGAGTCCCCTTCCCTGGGCGCCCTCGGCCCCCTCCTGCCTGGTCCTGCCCGCGGAGCTGCTGCCTGGCAGGGTGGTGCCCTCCGAGCCGGATCCAGGTCCTGCTGCTGGTGGTGGTTCAAGTGGAGAGGGCAGCGTGCCAGGGTGGCTTTGGATGACATGGGCAGAGCAGCTCCAGTGAAGGAAGCAGCGGATGCTGGCGCCCTGTTGCTGTCTGTGCCGGGCTGTCCCCCTCTGTCCTGGGGGAAGCGAGTGTCCCCGAGCTCACGGACGAGCTCTGGCCCCAGTAGCATCACTGCAGACTCCAGGGTACTGTGGTGGGAGCCTCGGGAAAGCACGGTCCTGGGAACATCCCATGGGAATGACAGCCACACTTTGGTCTGGGGCTGGCCAGAAGGGCCGCTGGGGCAGCCAGGGATGGAAGCAGAGGGAGGGTGGCAGCTTCCAGGCACCCAGTGCTCCCAGTTCTGCCCACAGTGGTGTGGGGGGAGCGGGCTGAGCAGCTGGACCTTTGCTTGAGTGCCCTGTCACCAAAACACTACATTTTGTAGAAGAGATGGAAGAAACCACAGAGCATCAGGAGGAAGGAAGCACAGAGCCCTGACAGCACTGACAGCTGGGGGGGCCCAGCAATCTCAGTTTCCCCCAGCCAGGTGGCCGCACCACAGGAGCCCCGTGTCTGCCAGCCTGGCTTGTCCCTGAGAGCCCTGTGTGGCTGCAGGGGCTGGAGGAGTGGCAGTGGGGAGCAGTTCCCTTCCCTACCTGTCCCAACTACATCCTCTGGGCAAAGTCAGAGCTGGAAAACTTGCTCTGACCTTACCTGAAAATTAGGCAAGAAGAAAGGCAAATAAAAGAACTAGGCTGGAGACAGAGAGGTTCACGTGAGGTGCACTGAGAGGGAGCTGACGTGTGCTCCAGGTGACCTGGCTCCTGTTGCTGACTGTGTTGTTGCAGCTGGAGGAATCTCCTGACCCCACCGTGCCACGGCCAGTCTGGTACCACAGGGTTCTGCTCTGCAGATGGGCACGTGCTCATACGTGGGCACTGGCTGGGCACTGGCTGGAGCCTCTCCTGCTCCACAGCCTGACCAGGCCCTCAGGCTGGATTCTGCCAGCTCAGGCTCCCAGAGCAGTGAGGGGACTGTGGGGGGAAGGAGGTCCAAGGGGTGTCCTGGAGTTTCCCACACTGGATCTGCAGGCAGCCAGGAGCTCAGGCGCTGCTGCCGAGTCCTGGTGTCGGGGAGTGCCGGAGCCACGTGGGTGCCGGTGCTGTTTGCTGATCCCTGTTTGCCAACGGGGTGAGGCTGGTGTGTGTACCACTGGCTGAGCTGGCCCTCGCTGTGCAGGTGCCATACGTGGAAGCAGCAGCTCCTTTTCCCAGGAGACTTTGCAACTACTTCCTCAATGTCAGGTAGCTGAAACCTGCAGCTCTGAAGGCCTAGCCAAGCAATCATCATGTCTCTGGCATGAAAAGTCACCCAACTCGTTTGTTTCTGGCAGGAGCTGACAGTTGGGCTGCTCGTGTCACCCTTAGAAAGGTGTCCAGGGTAGC